TGACTTTAAAAAAAGTGAATCATCAGATTAATCAAAAATGAAAATACGTGGGGGATAACGGTATAGTTTACATAACCCGATAAAATGCAGTAATAACGAGAAAATATGTCACAGTAATAAACATATCGTGTGAAAGTGAAACGTTTGAAATATTTTCCGTGGTGGCATCAAAACATCCTGAGTTTGCTGAGATTAAAGGAAATCTCCTCACATCACGTCAGCCCAGCGAGCGATTCATTAAATAATTATATAAATGAGATTTCCTTCAGAGAAGTCTTCCTCAGAATGAAACCTGCCAGGATCAAATAACAGACGGACTAATAACGTGTCCTGCAGCCTTTGTGAACATGTAACACAGCTCTGATCTCATATTAGAGGATTAATGTGACTTTCTTCTGTTAATTGAAGCAGCAGCGGTTCACAGCTCACTGTATAATAATCAGAGTTAATCATCAATCACACTGTAATTACACAGACGAGGTCTCTGAGGGCCGAGGGCCCGGAGAACCAAAAGGTCCAAAAACACTCAGCATGATGAGCTTTACAAGGTCGCTCTCATCATTCACTGTTTATATTTTCATATACTGTATCTATAAAATATAGAAATATTTGAGAAGCTTGGCGCTACATAAATAAAACTGTATTGAACTGAATTGAGTCAGTGAGGTGCTGTAGAATGATAAAATGACTAAAGCTCGGCATGGCTGAATAAAAAGAGTTCAGAGCCGACAGCCCCATCGTTTCCTCTTTCATATATAAACCTGCAGTGCAAATGCCAAAAAGCGCTATATGTGACGTCACATCGTAGTATCATGAATGTTTCCATAAACCAGCCCTGTTCCAGAGAAGCGTTCGTACGAGCTCCTGGAGCTGGATGCTGTTCAGTGTCTCTCAGAAAGAGCTTTCACTCTGTGATTTATCAAGTTTCCTGATGGACAGTAGGGCTGGACGATACGGCCAAAACTGTTATCGCAATAAAAAGTTTCATATCTTTCGGTATCGATAATTATCACGATAAGTATCAAATCGTTATTTCTTTTGAGTTTAAAGGCTGATTTTTTGTCAACACTTGATGCCAAACAGTGGATCTCTTCACAAATCTGAGGTAGAACATTCAAAACAATCATGATAAAATCTTTGTCAACAAACATGCATGAGTAAAATTAAGTAAAAGCTTTTTTCAGTCCCTTTTCCCCCACAAAATAAACATCTTAATACAAAAGTTTAATCCTAATTCGTGTATGATTTAAGTGAATTAAATCAAACATTTATTGAATATTTATTGAACATTTATTATATTGTTATTGTTTTATTGTCCAGCCCTAACGGACAGATAGCTTCACTTGTTGCTAACGCTACAGTAACCGCTAGCTGCTGCTAACAGAGTAGCAGCTGTTACCAGCTGAACCAGCGGTCCAGAGCTTAGTGCTGACGTTAGAGGTGGAAACACCAACACGGAGGACATCGGAGGAAAAACTGGACAATATTTTATCCATCAGATCTGATCCAGTTTCAGTAAAACTAGAGAATTTTTTTCATTAATCAGTGAGGTGGTCAAAGTCCTTACAGGCCCGCCACTCAGCAGCCATCTTGGTGAGGCCTCAGGTTATCTGGGACAAACAGGATCAGGTCTGGCAGAGAGCCAGAACTGCACTTTCTCTGGTCACCGGGACATAAAACCTGCATGAATCAGTTTGAGGACTTTGTCCCAAAATCAGGTTTATAGAGTGTTTTTCCCCGCAGGTTATACGTGCGTGGTACTAATGATCCTGCACAAGTTATTTTGTTCAACATGAAATCAAATACCACATAAAAGTGTCAATTTCTAATCTAACATCAGCTGTTTCCATGTGTAGTTCAGGCTCCTCCTGCAGCTGATGTCAACTCCTGGACATTAAATGTTCATCTTACTGATCTGTTGTTACTGAAGCAGGTCACATGACCTGGTTACCTCTCAGTGTTTCCCATTAATTAACGAGACCACGGCGGCCCGCCGCAGGCTGACATGTTCCGCCATGAAAATATATCAACATTAAAAACCTCTAACGCTGTGTTTTGCACCGCTGCTGTAAAGTCAGATGCCCGCACACTTGGGCGTCTGACTCGAGACAACCGCTGAGCAGCGTTCTGTGCGCTCCTGACTCTGAAAGTTCATTCTTCCAAGAACGACTAGCAAGAACGTTCTCCCCTTTATACTCACTTTCTAACAGGTGTGTACCTGAAGAGAGAGAGGCTATTAAATCTTCTACGACACGTAAAACAACATGCAATCCAATTCATCAAATTGCGTCGGAGCTGGTGGACGCAGCGCGAGGATGGAGGATACACATGTGACAGACGGTTTCAAAATAAGGTGTTAACACAGCATTAATAAGACTAACTGGGTTATATTCACAGGAAGAATAAAACCTGTTACGTGAAGTTACTTACAAATAATTCTTTGATTTATGGAAAAACATTAAATAAATCAGTTGATTTTCTTGCTGTTTCATCACCATTTATATCTGTCCAGTCTGTTTATGGTCGACTGGTTTACTGGCCACAGATTATTTAACAGGAGTGCAAAGTTCCTCAGAGAGCCGGCCTCTTTCTTTTGCTTTTAAAGTCACCAAATTACTGCTGCTAACTTTAAAATGTACACATTTTATTTGCTGGGGGGGGGGGGGGGGGGTAAATGAGCCAGTCGTCTTCTCAGTGTTGTAACAAACTAATTCCATCTTCTCAGATGTCTGTTATAACTTTGGTGTTCGATAATGTGGAAATATTAAAACACAGCAGCAGCTTTACGTCCCTCCATCTCTGCGTGTGAACAACACAACAAAGTAAAACGATATTAAAACACGGACGGCACGATAAACACTTTCTGCTGCTGCAGTTCGGCCAATCAGACGGCTCTGTTCTTCCTCTCTGGAATCGTCAGAAACGCTTGTTAGAAAACTGTTCAGCATGAAGACGAGTAGTCTGTCGGAGCTGGAGGCGCCGCCTCATGATTCTCTACGCAGGAAATACCCTGTCTAAATAACAGTGGGGGGGTTTGTTATAACTCCTGACTCATGTCAGCTTCAGATACCATCACGGCGTTTGAGAGTTGATGTGATAACGAGTCACCAATGCAGTTCACGTCTCAGAGCCAACAGGGACGCAGCGGTTTATCTGATCTGTACGCCAGACACATCGACCACGAGCAGCACGGAGGCCTTGTGTTGCCTTCACTTCCTGTCCCGGAGTTACTGAGTGAATCTGTACCTGAAGTCTCACAACATCCTGAGTGCTGATCACTCACCATTAATCTCTTTAACAAACATTTTCTGTCAGTCAGAAAACTGGCGGGGGGGTTCAAGCTGGTCACGGTGTGATTACGGTGCGGGGGGGCTCTGATGGTCGCAGCGTGGGGGGGGGTCACAGTGTGTTTGTGACCTTCGGACAGCCGGTTGGAGGAGTCAGTGAAGACTCTTGACTGTTTGCTGACAGAAACAAAGACCTGACATGAACTCGCTCTCTCTGCTGGGATTATTTCTGACACCAGAAACGAGGCCATAAAATATTGTGGTTTCAGTTTAAAACATGACTCATATTCTGTGGTCTTGTTCTGAATGTAATCTACACGCAGTATTTCACTCTGAAATATAGTAGCAGAGCTGTAAACTACCAGCTTTAAACACTTTCAGCTGCAAATACTTTTACTCTGGAAACTTTACTTTATTACTGAAGCTTTCCTTTAGAGCAGTCTGCTTTCATATTTAGGGCCTTTCACTGTACTTTTGTGTCTTTCTCGTGCATTTACTGATGTCCACTCTTAGCTTGAGTATTTGTACTGAAGTTTAATTTTGTGCTCCTGCCCTCTCCACCTTCACGCCTCAGAGGGAAATATTCTACATTCATCTGCAGGTTACCTCACAGATTAAGATTTAACACAGAAAACAGATTAAAGTTCCCAACAGAGTAGAAAGTAGATATAATTACTAGATTTATTTTAAAACAGGAGGTTAATTCAGTAACAGGCAGTCACTCAAATAATTTGTTCCTAAATAAATCAAATAAAAAGTTATTGTTCTTTACCCCCTGAAAAATGTTTTATTATTTTATATAAAGTAAGCAGTAGAGACAAGTTGTGAAGTAGAAAGTATTTCAGCTGGACCTTCCTGACAGTTAGCGCTGTGCTGTTTGTTTTAAGCTTTTATCAACTTTAATCAAAGTACAGAAGTTCTGTAAAACACACTGAAGTAAAACTCCAAACTGTTACTCAGGTGAAGTACTTCAGTACACGTTCACTGCCAGTTAATATTCAGCCTCAACTGCAGCTCATCCTCCTCTCAACAGGCTGTTAGCTCTGTTAGCTCTGTTAGCTCTATTAACTGTTAGCTCTATTAACTGTTAGCTCCGTTAGTTCTGTTAACTGTTAGCTCTGTTAACTGTTAGCTCCGTTAACTGTTAGCTCTGTTAACTCTGTTAACTGTTAGCTCCGTTAACACTGTTAACTGTTAGCTCTATTAACTGTTAGCTCTATTAACTGTTAGCTCCGTTAGTTCTGTTAACTGTTAGCTCTGTTAACTGTTAGCTCCGTTAACTGTTAGCTCTGTTAACTCTGTTAACTGTTAGCTCCGTTAACACTGTTAACTGTTAGCTCCGTTAACTCTGTTAGCTCCGTTAGCTCTGTTAGCTCCGTTAGCTCTGTTAACTGTTAGCTCTATTAACTGTTAGCTCCGTTAACTGTTAGCTCCGTTAGCTCTGTTAGCTCTGTTAGCTCTGTTAGCCAAACACACAGCAGAACTGCTGTTCACCGGCTGTTAGCAGCTAGCAGCTAACTAGCTCTGCGCCTCCAGCTAAAAACAACCCCGGTCTCCCGGTCTCACAGCCGGTGACAGCCTCCGGGAGCAGCACCGGAGCACAGCACCGGCTGTTTCCAGAAGGAACCCGGTAAACTGTGTCCACAGCGGGGCACAAACAGCGGACCGAGTCCCCTCACGTGGACGGTTCATTCAACAGCAGCGGACACTCACCTCTGACTGCATCTGCACGGCGCCAACTGACGGCCCACGTACAGTCCACTGCGTCATCACGTCGCCTTTGGAGCCGCCCCCAGGTGAGCCTCTCAGCTTTGGCTGGTTCATCTAGAACTTTGTGGAAAAGAGACATTATATTTTTTTATTAAAGATTGATAGTGATTGTGAAAGAATATATTTTTAACTCTTTATTTTATATGGAACATTTTAGTGCAAATGGTTTAAGAAGAAATGACATTTAGCACATTTTAAGATATAAACTAAACATTACATTGAAATTGGTTTGAAGAATAGTAAAGCAATCAAAACAGTTGAAATATGTACAGATTTAAATAAAACAATCTTTGTTAAATGACCGGCCCTTTGCTCATTGTTTTACAGTATACATGGTGATTACTAAAGTTAAAGCTAAGTTTTGTGGCAAGGACAATTATCCTCCTCCCACTGCCTCTCCACAGGGGGGCCCCAAGGCTCAGTGCTTGGGCCCCTTCTCTTCTCAATTTACACCACCTCACTGGGGCCGATCATTCGCTCGCACGGCTTTCTTACCACTGCTACGCAGACGACACGCAACTCTACCTATCCTTCCCGCCAGGCGATCTCACCGTCTCGGATCACGGACTGTCTATCAGACATATCTGCATGGATGAAGGCTCGCCACCTTCAACTAAACCTGAACTCTTGGTCAAGCAATCTATCCACCATAACATCACACTACAACTTGCCTCCTCAACCATCACTCCAACCTGGTGAGAAACTTGGTGTCATGATTGATGACCAGCTGTCCTTTTCAGACCATGTTACTGCTGTTCTCTGTACAACATAAGGAAAATCAGGCCCTACCTCACTCAGTACGCCACCCAGCTTCTGGTACAGGCCGTGGTTATCTCTCTGCCCTCCTAGCAGCTCTTCCAGCTTGTGCGGTGAAACCCTTACTAATGGTTCAGAACACAGCAGCGCGTCTGGTTTTTGATCAGCCCAAAAGGACTCATGTCACTCCGTTACTCAGTGACCTCCACTGGCCCCCCGGGGCCTCCAGAATCGTATAACTATAATAGTATGTATTGTCAGTTGTAGAGCTAAAGCTTAAACAGCTCGTACTTCCGAGGGCTAAAGATCAGTCGTCCCTGGGTGGGTTCGAACCACCATCCTCTCAGTTAACAGCTGAGCACGCTAGCCAATTGCGCCACAGAGACAACCTGAACTCTATTTCCAACCTGAACCCTCAAATCAAGTCTTAACCCTCAAACAGCCCTTTAAACTTGTGGGTCCAACAACACGGTCTCATCCCAACTATGCGTCACATATGGACGCTTGGTCAGAGCACATTTTAACGCCGTGGGTACCCTTGAGCGTCATTTTGCGATGTGTAGGGCTCCGTGGTCAAATTAGCAAGAATAAAAAAGCAACGTCCGGTTCGACTTTCAAAATAAAAGTCCTTGTTAACGCTGCAAAACAATGCAATCTGGTTGAACAAATCAACAAAAGATTATAGTTTGTACGTTGCGTCCATCATATAACTTAAATAAAAACATTAAGTGTTGACTTTTTGCACACCGGTCTCCTGGCTGAAAGTCTGGTGTCTGGCCCACCGTCCAACCCAAACACCTCCTCGCTCTGACTTTTCTGTTTAATATTCTTCACCTATCTTTAGTGTAGAATATTAAACCGCAGTGCGTCACAAGCGACAACGGGTCTTGACCATGTGTCCACATGTGACCAGCTGGCATAACAACATGTCGTTGTGGGGATGAAAAAGTTTAAAGGGTTGTTTGAGGGTTTGATACTCGGTTTTAAAGGTTCAGGTGAGAATCGGGGTTCAGGGGAGGCAGGTATCTGCGATGGTTAGGGGTTAGTGAAAGCACGATGTCTTCATGAAGACAAACGTGCTAATGAATGAAACTCAGGTACAAGAAGACACGGTTTTATTAAAATTTAATTTGGCTACATTTATTCGAGCATGGTCATCTCCAAGAGAAATTAAAAATTCATTAATACTTCAGACATTTCAGAAATTCCTTCATCATCATCATCATCATCATCGGTCCTTCGTCACCTCTTCAGTGGGATGAATAAAGTGGATTTTTTTAACTCTCAAAAATACAGTGTTTTCACAATAATCATCGTATCAAAAGTTCCCCAAATTTAGAATTTCCAGTAGTTTCAAAGGAAATAAAAACAAAAAGTTGAAATGTTCCAAATACCACAGACGCTCCAATCAATGACAGAATCATCTTACTAAAATATATCTATTTGTGAGGAACTCTAATACTGTACACTACCGTATGAAATAAATAAAATGAGGAAATATAAAATGAGTCACATAAATAAAATTGTAAATTCTCAAATAAAAACAAAACAAAAAATTAAATTTGTGTTGGAAAATTCAACAAAAAACTAAAAAGTAATACTGACGAAAAAATACTGTCATGGAACAAAAAGAATAGAGAAAATTGCACAAACAAATGTAAACTAACAAACTATCTAAGCTACTACTGACGATCAGACCGGGTGAAGCAGGACAGGTGAGGCTGTACAGGGATGGCACAGGTGAAAGGTTTGCATATAAGGCTTTCTCTGGAGACAAGAGTCAACACACACACAGAAAAAGGCCCTGTCCTCTTTTATTTTGTCTTTTTAAAATGGAGCCCTTTCATATTAACGCTCCTTCCTCTCTCCCCTTTAAGACTCACACCGACATTTTATTTTGAAAATCACACAGGTTTAAATGTTCCTTCACATAAAGAAATAAAAACATCAGGAGGCCCAAAGTCGTGTGGTTAGTCTGCGAGAAGAAGAAACCAGGATGCAAATAATAAAAAAACGTCACAGTAAAAGAGACAAAACACAACAATAACACTGACAGGAAGTGACCGAGTGTTCGAGGCTGCTTTCCCTCTTTTAGTTTTTTTTTTTTAAAATTCATTTTCTTTTATTTTGTAGTGATTCGGGGAGTCGAGTGCAATTTCCTGATGTGGGGTTTTCGAACACAGCGAGACACAGGAAGTTAAGAACATCATCATAGCACCACACAGCTTTTAGGCCTTTATAATAATACTGTACAATTAAAAACAGCTTCATTATAATGATTCTTCTTCTTCTTATAATTATTATTATTATTATTACTTCTTCTTCTTTTGTCTTTTATTTTTTGCATAATGTGGATTCTTAAACAATCCCACCAGCTTCATGACGCACCGTCATCGTGTTGCATCTCCGGTTCGGGACTGGACCGAAAGTATTTGGGACGTGGAGAGAAGCTTTTTAACCCCCCCCCCACTGTGTTATTAATACTGTCTTTGGACCCCCCCCCCCCACTGTGTTATTAATACTGTCTTTGGACCCCCCCCCCCCCCCCCAATAGAGTTCAACTGAGTTTGTTTGCATGAGTTTCATTAAGAACGAGCTTTTCAGCGACTTCACCGAGCGAAGCACCAGGTGTCACGGTGACTTTCAGAAGAAGAGACTTTTCCTTTTTCTAAAGTTAAAAGTCCAAATAAACCTGCACAAAATGTTTTTTCTTTACATATAAAAGCCAAACAGATCCTGATGAATCGAAGGTCCCGGCTGCCGTTCAGCTTCCTGCTGTGAGTCTTTCCGATCACGAGTTGGTCCTTTGAGCTGAACGTGGATCCTGATGTCGGGGTGTTGGGACGGGACGTGTAAGACATTTAAAATAAAACAGGATGTGGGGTAAAATAAAACAACGGTCTCTTATAAAAGCCCCCCCCCTTCTTTCCAGCCCTGATAACTTGTGCACAGTCCTTCAGAGTTCCTTCTGGATCAGTCCTCCTGGTCCGACTTGCCGTCTGTCTTCCCTTCTCCTGAACTCTCGTCCATCAGCTGCGTCGCGTCTTTGCCCTCGCCGTCCCTCCTCGACTCCATCTGGCTCCTGCTGTCGCCCTGCTCCTCCTCCTCCTCCTCCTCTTCCTCCTCTTCTTCTTCCCTGAAACTTGCCTCCTGTCCGTCTGTCACGTCCTCGTACGTCTTGTTGTCCGCTTCCCTCTCCTCCAGTCCTCCGCCTCCTCCCTCGCCGCCGTCCCTCAAGATCGTACCGCCGCCGCCGTCCTCCTGCTGGTCCTCGGGGTCCGAGTACCCGAGCGGCCCCAGCCCCTGCAGGTAGGCCCTCCTCATCAGCAGCTCGGTGGGCTCCAGGCCCCCGACCGCCACGCCTCCTCCTCCTCCCTTGTCCCTGGCCTCCCTCTCGGCCGCCTCGCGCTCCTCCGCCTCCCTCTTGCAGTAGGAGTAGCGGTGGTTCATGTGCTGCGAGTACGAGCCCGAGTGCGAGAAGCGCTTCCCGCACTTGTCGCACTGGTAAGGTTTCTCCCCGGAGTGCAGGCGCGAGTGCTCGATGAGATGGTGTTTGTGTTTGAAGGCCTTCTTGCAGATCTGACACTGGTGAGGACGTTTCCCTGCGGAGACACAACAAACAGGAAGAGAAGAAGAGTCAGCACGCCGTCACAACGCCAGCTGCTGCAACACCATCAGGACGAGTTAGCTTCATCCTTTCATCGTTCCTGGGTTCATTTAGTTTTGGCCTGTTGGACGAGGATCGATCCATTAAAGGAGACAGCGAGTCGATGTTTAACGCGACCAAAGCTCTGAATAATGACGTTAACGTGATCAAACCTCAGATTTCCCACGGCCCCGAACGCTTTTCTCTACTCTCGCCTCCAGTTTTCTATATGTGGTCATTAGACCGTCCACATGGCCGCCGCCACGCTCAGTCGGTCTGCTCGGCAACACGTCGCCAAGAAAGAGCTTTTTCTGTTGCGAAGGAAAATGAAGCTTGTTTGGTTTTCCTAACAGCAGCCTGGTTCGCTTCAGGGTCTTGGCCAATCAGAAGACAGCGGGCTTTTAGCGGGGGAGGGGCCTTAAAGAGACAGGAGCGCCTCCAGTTTGTTTCAGACAGAGGCTGAAATGAAGGGCCCGGACAAGAGAGAAGATGTTTTCTTTAAACTTTGAATCGTGTTTAAATTCATTGATCCGGACAAACTGAGACATTTTACTGACTGAAGGATCATAACCAGGAATAATTACGAGATTTCCCTTTTCCTCGTTAAAATCTGTCTCTCGCAATCACGAGTTCTGCGTCATAATTACAGAAAGCTTTCACTAAAGACAATATATTTAATATCTAACAGCGGTGAGCCGTCCGTCAGATAGCAGCTGCCAGAGGGAATAATTAATCTGAGGGTCCGTGACGCTCTGCAGGTGGTGCTTTGATGTTTTGGCTAAAATCTGTTTGATATATGAAAGTTTGATATTAAAGTTCGATTCAGAAAATATAAATAAAGATTCTAATTTCAGAGACACAGAGAAACATAATGACTCGCAGAGAGACAAAGATTATTATATTAGAATCATTATAATTATTTCACGTTTGTCCAAAAAGAGATGGTTTTTGTGTTAAACCGACTCAGTCCAGCGTTTTGAATTTGCTGAAAATATCTGAGATGAAATTCTGAACCATAAATATCGTGTCTGTTTTACTTTCTATGAGTTGTTCAGATTAAATGTGTAAATTTTCAGTTTCACTCGATGATGAAAAAGACGTTTCATCCTGTAACATCAACAATAAAGTTATAAATAAGGTTTGAGTCAAAATCACATTCAGAAATCACAAAGGTGAAACCTGACAGGAAGTTTCAATCTTTTAAACTGAATGAACTCTCTCAGCTGATATTATTGTGTTGGAGGACACGTGATTGGTCTGTTTTCAGTTGTTTCAAATCTAAACACTCAAATCCTGATTTTAACTTTAACCCCGTCTCATGGAGCTCGTCTGAGCGGCGGCGAAGCGAGACGCGACGCTCTGATGACATCACATCGCCAGATTTAAATCTGAGGAGGAGCAAGGACACGCACACACACTCACACTCACACACACACACACACACACACACACACACACACACACACACACACACACACTCACACTCTCTCTCCTGGATTTACTACGACTCTGTAATTTGTTTTCTTGCTGCCAACCGACAGGCTGAACGGCGTCCAAACACACGTCCCACGCACACATGCAGCAGGAACACGGCTTCACCCGGCAGTGTCAACACACACACACGCATGTACGTGCACAGCTCCTCACAAACACACATGCAGGCAGATCGTAGCCACAAATAGACGCCATAGCTGGCATTGCTTACTGCAACACACACACATACACACACACACATACGCGCACGGTGCGGCAAAAATAAGCGAGACGGCGGATTCCTGCTCTGAGTGACGGGGGGGGGGGGGCGGACGTGAACGAGGGATGATGCAACAGCGTGAAAGAGACGAAGGTAGAACAGGTCACAGCTCTTTAAAGAAGCGAGCTCAGGTAAGAGCCGCGCTTTGGGACCAAACTCCAGTGAAAAAAACACAGATTTTAGCTTTTTGATGAGCAGGTTCAGGCTGATTTTTGCCCACACGTTATATTTTAATGCATCAGAAAGTTCTGTTTCCTGGAAAGATCAGAACCGACCTCCAGGTAACGAAAAGTGAAAAACGTCTAAATGATCTGACATCAGAAACTTCATCTCCACGTAAATGTTTAACGGCTGCACACCGACTCCAGACGAATAAATGTGTGGTGTATGTGTCACTTATAAGATCATGTGTTTTAAAAACATGAGGACTGATCCACAAAAACACACAGATTCTAGTTTCTAAAGGTTTATGTTGATTTGTGTTAATAAAAAATAAGATCAAGATACATGCGGACACCCGGATGTGTGATGGTTTGGTAAATCGCCTGCTGTGTATGATGTTGAGTTAAGGGTTGACAGATAGTTCAGCTGCGAGATGTTTACTGGTGTTTTCATATCACAAACTGTTTGTTTCCAGTTCAGAAATGGAAGAAATGGACCATCTCTCTGCTGTAATTAATATTTCCTTTTGATCTTGGCGCTCACACACATGCACAAACAGCTACACATGCAAACATGCACACCTCCTCCTCCTCCTCCTCTCTACACATCGCAGTATATTTGGGGCGCTGAGTGTTTATGTAATCCCCTCCATATTAAGTGATCCCTACCCCCTGCTGAAAAGAAAGGAACATGTTAAAGGCCATGGTTTCAGAGAACAAAACAGAACGGCAGAGAAAAAGAAAAAGTGGGGGAGCTACGTGACTAAATAAATGTAAAAAGGAGAGAATGAAACATGAGATATGAAGGGAGGGGGCACAAAAGCATCGGGGGTGGGGTAAAAAAGAAGTGTCCAAACGTTATATATACCTGTGTGCTCATATTTGTGTCTTAGGAGGGAACTGGTCTTCTGGAATGTTTTGTCGCACAAGTCACACGCGTACATACCACTTTCAGTCTTCTTAATCTTCTTCCTGGAGAGCAGCGAGTCGCTGTCTGTCAGGTCGTCCAGGCCTGACAGATAGTCGGCCGTCCCGTCCAGCAGCTCCCCCTGAGACAGAACACAGATCGGTTTCAGTACGTCTGCTCACCACCACACCTGTCGGCCTCAGAGACACCTTCTGGTCCAAACCCCCCACCGCCTCTGTGATCCCAAGTCTGGACAGGGCTTAAAGGCCCGACCTGGGTAAGTCCCCTTCATCCGGGGGGGGGGGGTCATGTGGGGTGTTTACAGATAAAGGCAGCCAGACACCAGGTGAACCAGAGTTTGTGATTTATCACCAGGAGCAAAAAGGAAAGAACCCGAGTGACAGATCCAGCGATCCTGTCGTCACGTTCTCCTCCTCAGTAGGAGGAGTTATCGCCGAAATATAAATGTTCAAATGTCCTGTTGTTCTGAACATTTGACTGACTGCGGAGTAGCTGATGGGGGCACCCTGATCTAGTACAGCAACAAAGGCCTGACGGATCCAGCAACTACTGAACTGTAGGGCTGCGCAGTAAAACTATAATTATAATATAAATTTCCTCAATAACAAAATAACAAATGTTCAATAAATGTTTGATTTAATTTACTTGAATCATGAACGATTCAGCACTTCATTTCTCTATTAAGATCTTTATTTTGTTGAGGAAAAATTATTTTATTATTGTGCAGATAGTTCTGAACGTTCTGCCTCAGATTTGTGAAGTGATCCTCTGTTTGGCATCAAGTGTTTGTTCTGACCAGAAAGATTCACTCAGGAGCAAAAACAACACATATAGACGCAGAGTCGGAGCCCTGTAGGGTCACTTTTTAACTCTAAAGGTAGGTGCAGGATATTTCACAGAAAAGTCAGAATAAGGAGGTGGTTGAGGTGCACAGAGGGCCAGAAACTGGACTTTTGTAGTTATTTCAACCCAAACCATTATTTTTTTCCTAAACCTAACCAAACTGTGACGTTGCACAACGTGCCATTTCAGAATTTCAGAACATTTTGCTAAGTTAACAAGTATTTTCTCTAGTATCTACTCTTGCTAACTTGACTGCGTAGTCAAAACACATTAAAAAAAACACAACGCTGAAGGGTACCCAGCACGCTAAAAAGCGAAGAGCCAAGGGGTCTGACCAAGAGTCCATATGTGGCGAGGATGAGAATGTGTCGTCAAAAATCAGCCTTCAAAGTTGCTTTTATATATCGTGATAATTATCGATATCAAATTATATTAAATGTTTTATCATGATAGCATATTTGGCCATTTTTCCGAGCCCTACTGAACTGTCATGCGCAGCAGAGTACGGGGCAGGTACACTTTTAATATTCTGACTTTATTCTCATTCAATTCTGCCTTTTGTCTGGACACGTCAGAGAACACAGATATGTGGGAGAGCTTCATATGCGTCCCCTCCAATGCTGAAACAAAGCCTACACCCCTGACAGACCTTCTTCCCCATCTTGTACCCAACTCATTTACTGTCATCTCTGTATGGTGTGACATACAGCTACTACTGGACCTTAGGGTGAGATTGTTGTGTCACACACCTACAGTACATCGACGATGCCAAACCACTTCTCGTTGCGTAACTGTCCTTTCTCAGAAGTGAAGGAGGACGTGGCATGACTCCTCGACCACACAAGCCTTTGTTGCAGGCCCACACACCAGTCAAGCTATGCCATGTACTTCAGTTATCAAACTTTCTACAAACTACAAACTTTCATCAGATGGGCTGCTGCACGGGCACATCCCGGCTACTGTACCCTGACTACTGCTTCTTCAGTCTCTATGATGCATTAAATGTTGAGATGAGGAAGGTGGTCAGGGGGAGTGGTTGGACTTCACTAGTGTCTTTTAACCGCGAGGACAAGAGACCAACAGATTTTATCTGCTAGAACTCGGGGGGTCCAAATATGTACCATGAAAGATCAGCAGGTATTCCTTCCAAACAAACACTCCACCCACAAGGGAAGGACTCACAACGCAACCGTATATGTACACTGTAGAAGGGCCTCATGTGTAATGCATAATATGATAATATATTCAGAGGGTAAAATCTAGATTGTTGGCTAGTTTTACCTGGAAACTGGATTTGCGTTGGTACTTTCTCCTCTGCTGCATTTCAGCAAATGTGGCCGCCCCGGTGGCGTAGGTGTAGGCCATGTGGGGCAGGAAGCTCATGGGGTCGAGGCCCGGGTAGGGCCTGAGGCCCGGGATGGTGGCCTGGGCAGACATAAAGGTGGGTGAAGGAAACGCCCCGTGAGGTGGTAGAGAGGTGTAGACGGGACCGCCGGTGAAGGGATTAATTCCAAAGATGGGACTGGTGCTTTTCTCCAGCTGGTGGACAGAGTTCCCTCCACCATCAGAGCCCATGACCTCCTTCTTGACGTTGACCAGGTCTAAGGGCCCAGACGCCAATTCTCGTCCTTGCACCTCACCATTGCGCTCGATGATGAAACCGTTGGGTCTGGGTCGCTTCTCTCCCGCGGAGATAAGCTTCTGCGCCATGTGCTTGGGCAGCGACAGATCCAGTGGTATATCCCCATGGGCTTCCTCAGAAGCTAGGCTGTTCGGAGTGTAAGAGTTTTTGGAGGAAGTAGAGGAAAGGTTGAGGGGTGATGGGGTGTTGCTCCTCAAGTGGTCCAAGGGGTCTAGTGGTTTGTCCCCTGTTGTCTGCCTGTTGGCTGTAAACTGGTTGGCCTTTGTAAGTCTATGGGGGGCGTCACCATTAGTGAAGCTTCCGTGTAAATCTACACCAGGAAGCGACAGCGGTGACCGGCTCAAGCTGTGGTTGGCATCCGGTCCGCTGCGATCATGAGGGGGTGACTTCTTCCTCAGACTGCCTCCGTGGTGGTTTTGGTTCTTCCACTGAGCAAACCACTCTTTGACAAACTCCTGAGGAAGGCCAACAGCAATTGAAATCTTGAGCAGTTCCTCTGAGTTGGGCTCAGTGTTCATGGCAAAGTAGGCCTTGAGCACTGACACGTGGTCCTTAAAGGGGTTGATGGGGCTGGTAGCCCGGTCGTTACTGGACAGCTCAGAGGGCATCGCCCCCCTGCGTCCAACAAGACTGCTCTCAGCCGGCTGCAGGACGGCCTTGATCTCCTCGTTCATTTTGCACAGGTAGCGCTCGTGTTGATGCAGCGGGATGGGTCCGGGGAAGTTCTCCTTGCAGTACTGGCAGGAGAACGGCAGGAAGTGGTTCTGGCCATCGTGGGATTTCTCCTCAACGCTGAGATCAATTGAGTGATTTGGCTTCTCCTTCTTGACATCCACCTGCCTCTTGGAGTCGTCGATCAGACTCTTGGCCTCATTGACCTTCTCCAGCGTGTAGTCGATGATGCTCTTTGTGGGGCTGCCGTGGCCCAACACCTGGAAGCCGGCCTGGGCCAACCTCTGCTCCTCCATCTGGGCCCCCAGCTCCTTCATGTAGGCCCTGAGCTTGGAGATCTCTTCTGGGTTCCCGTCCATCTTTTGCCGGGACACCGTGTTGTCCACGATCTGAAGCACCCTCTGCACCTCACTCAGGTTGTTCCCGAGAGGCCCTGCGTAGCCCAGTAGGGGGAGGTCTAGCCCCATGCCTCCCAGATGTTGAAGGGGGCTGTGGGAGGAGCTGTGGATGCCCAGTGGGCTTCCGCCGCGGCCGTTGAGGTAGACCCCCGGGCCCCCAAACCCATGCTGAGAGGCCATCAGCAGTCGGTACTCGTTGAAGTCCATCGGTTCTGCTTTGATGTCGAGCTGGCCCTGCTGGTCTGGAGGGCCGAGCGGTCGGCCATTTTCCAGTTTGTGGCGGAGCTGGGCCAGAGCGGGGCTTCCAGGTGATGAGGTTGTGGAGTTGGGGGAGGAGCCGGGCTTGCTGTTGTTTCCGTTGCGTACTCGTCCGTTGACGGCGATCAGGCCAATGCATTTCTTGCTGCTGATGTGGGAGCTGTAGGAGCCGGAGTGGGAGAACCGCTTCTTACAGTTTGAGCACTCGTACGGCTTCTCGCCTGCAACACAACATGAAATATGGTTTATGGTTTGGTTCAAATAAATACTGTTTTACCATGTGGTTCAGCATGCAACCAGTGTGGGCGGGTGGTTTTTATTTGGTCCGGCCGTTTGACATTTACAGGTTCATTACAACTTGTTGGCTTTATATCATCTTTGCTTAAAATAGATGGTAGTGATTTATTTGCTGAAGTTTTGGATCATTCATCTGTGCTAAAGTGAAATAAATCCTAGCATCCTAGCGCTAGTATCATTATTATTAGTAAGCACTATCTGGATCATTATGATTATATTTATCATGACACTTCTGTCATACTGTAAATACTGCCCATTTTCCACACTTATTTATATTGTTAGATTTATTTTTAGATTGTATATCTTTATATTCTATTTACCAACTTTATATTATTATTTCTATCCCTTTCATGAGCAATGTGAGCAACTGTGACTCAAGACGTTCACTGGGAAACTGGGGACATGGGGACGGTGTGGAAATGGGGACACTGGGGATGCTGGAGACATGGGGGCACGGGGGAAATGGGGACACTGTAAACATGTGGATGCTGGGGAAATGGGGACACTGGGGACGCTGGAGACATGGGGACACGGGAGACATGGGAATGCTGGGGACGCTGGAGACATGGGGACACATGGGGATGCTGGGGAAATGGGGACACTGGGGACGGTGTGGAAATGGGGACACTGGGGATGCTGGAGACATGGGGGCACGGGAGACATGGGGACGCTGGGGAAATGGGGACACTGTAAACATGAGGATGCTGGGGAAATGGGGACACTGGGGACGCTGGAGACATGGGGACACGGGAGACATGGGGATGCTGGGGAAATGGGGACACTGGGGATGTTGGAGACATGGGGACAGTGGGGGCACAGGAGACATGGGGACACTGGGGACACGGGAGACATGGGGATGCTGGAGACATGGGGACACTGGAGATATGGGGATACTGGAGACATGGGGACACTGGAGATATGGGGATGCTGGAGACATGGGGACACGGGAGACATGGGGATGCTGGGGAAATGGGGACACTGGGGATGCTGGAGACATGGGGATGCTGGAGACATGGGGACGCTGGAGACATGGGGATGCTGGAGACATGGGGACACTGGAGATATGGGGATGCTGGAGACATGGGGACACTGGAGATATGGGGATGCTGGGGAAATGGGGACACTGGGGATGCTAGAGACATGGGGGCACGGGAGACATGGGGACGCTGGGGAAATGGGGACACTGTAAACATGAGGATGCTGGGGAAATGGGGACACTGGGGACGCTGGAGACATGGGGACACGGGAGACATGGGGATGCTGGGGACGCTGGAGACATGGGGACACATGGGGATGCTGGGGAAATGGGGACACTGGGGACGCTGGAGACATGGGGGCACGGGAGACATGGGGACGCTGGGGAAATGGGGACACTGTAAACATGAGGATGCTGGGGAAATGGGGACACTGGGGACACTGGGGACACTGGGGACGCTGGAGACATGGGGACACGGGAGACATGGGGATGCTGGGGAAATGGGGACACTGGGGATGCTGGAGACATGGGGACACTGGAGACATGGGGATGCTGGGGAAATGGGGACACTGGGGATGCTGGAGACATGGGGATGCTGGGGAAATGGGGACACTGGGGATGCTGGAGACATGGGGACACTGGGGATGCTGGAGACATGGGGACACGGGAGACATGGGGATGCTGGAGACATGGGGACACGGGAGATATGGGGATGCTGGAGACATGGGGACACGGGAGACATGGGGATGCTGGAGACACATCACTTTTTGAATTGGCCGTTGATCATTTGTGATTAAAAATGGAAAATAGTTTTTAACTAGCAAAAGAAAATGTTTTGAGAAAGACAAAAAGAAAACGTGATGCAGTTTAAATATAGAAGACAGCTGGCGTTGCAGGTGAGGATTCTGTTCCGTGTTCAGTCGACACTGTTAGTGATTATCTACTCTGACCCGTTACATTTCCTAAAATCCCGTCTAAAGGTTTTTAGCAGGACGCTCCTCCTCCTCGTATTAACACTGTTACTGAGGTGAAATGGCAAAATGTCATCACGCTGGATCTCTGGAGACCTAAAGCAAACTTTCAGTTTGTTTTTCCTAAATAGTTTCTGGTTTCCTAAAAATGTGGGCAGCTTTCAGGTCTGAGCCTCAGTCAGTAAATCTGACAACACGATCAATATTCAGAGGGGTGGCTTCGAGAAGAATGACTTGGCATAAAGGTGTGAATCTGGAAAATACAGAGAAAGACCATTTATTGTCTCTTCCAAGAAAAGTTTCGGTTTGCTTCTATTTGTAGCTTTGATCTCCACACGATGAATCACTCAGAAGTGAAACGGGTCAACTGACTATTCAGAAAATGTCGTGAGTCATTCAGCCGAGAGTCGAACAGCAAGGTTATTAATTAGCAGCTCGTCAGTCAGACGGCGAGCCGGAGGCCGGGCGACTCACCGCTGTGAATGCGGAGATGCTCCTTCAGGTGATGTTTGTATTTGAAGGCTTTTCCACACTCGCTGCATTTAAACTTGCGGTTTCCAGCTCCTTCGTTCAGCAGTGGTGGCTGCAGACAGAGAGAGAAACAAACAGCAGAGTTATCATGTGATGGAGGACGAGTGGGAGTCGGCGAGCGCAGAGGGAAGCAGCCTGCGGAACAGACGGGGAATTTAATAGTATTTAGTGAAGCAGCTGTGATGGTGACAGGGAGATTCTGAGAAACAGCGTGGGCTGACTTTGTTCAGATGTAACAGTTTGTGGTGAAGGTGCATTCCCACCGTTTCAAATGCAAATAAAGACACAAACAAACACAAACAACCCGTCCCCCCCAGACTGATGCTGACAGAGAGCTGAAATCCTTCGTTCCACACAGGGAGGAAAACTCACCAGAGAGCTGCTGCTTATTGTTCTTTATACACCGATCTCCAACCTCTATTATTGTTATTATTATTATTATTTTACAACCTGCATCTGCTGATCCATATTTATATATTTGTACATTTACTTGTTTATCAGAAAGAAGTGTTTTTGTCACAGTTGCTTAGTCAGTGTAATTAAGGAACAGAAAAATAATAGAAAGGTGAAGCAGAAAATATAGAATCTATGCATATATATATATAAAATATGAAGACATGTATCTAAATATAATAACTCTAAATATGAAATCCAAAGCAGCGTGGGTGTGTACAGTATTTCCAGTATTAACAGAACTGTGGTGACGAACAGCAGCAGTTATTAAACCAGAGAACAGAGAATATTACACACTGAGTATTAAAACAGATAAAATTTGTTTTTACACTTGTTAAAGCCCTTTGTAAGTTGTTTGAAAAGTGCTCTATAAATAAAGATTATTATTATAATGATTTGCATTATGGGGGATGAGTCTAATCACCACAGCAAACGTGGTGCGTGTAAAATACTCCGTGGCATTGAAGCTCTTTCTGATTCTCACTAATGTTCTAATCAGCTGTTTCTGATTTTATGTGTTGGTTTTATATCGATTTCATATAATTCAGCCTTTATTGTCCCTCGAGGGGAAAAAAATGAAAACAAATAAACAAAGTACATGTTGGTATGTTGATTCTTCTGTTCTTTAGGTTCCTCTGTGCTGCAGGCCGACCTGAACTTCCCCTGCAGGGGATTAACGAAGGCTTATCTGATCCGAAACATTCATGATTCGTTTGTGTTTCTGTAAAGTCAGCCTGGAGATCAGTGTGTAGGAAGAACAACGAGGCCAAAAACGCGCTGATTCAGCACCAATAAAAATATTCACAATATCACAGACGCAGAGCGAAACGTTGGAGTGTTATTGTGCTGCAGAGTGAATCTGCCTCCATCTGATCTCTGAAACTGTCTGATCCCAGAGGCAGCGAAGCAAAAGACCGAGCAACGCCGGCCGCAGCCTCTCTTTAAGTCAGGGTTCACAAGACGGCAGTTCAATAAAATACATTTTTATATTTATGTTTTGAAGAAATAAAATCTGTTTCATCTGCAGAAACACTGATTCATCCCTGATACTAGTATTTTCTACTCCATCTCAGATACTTGTACTTCTCTGCATTTATCTCCAGCAGCTGCGTTACTTTACAGATTTTCACACACAGACACATGAAGAGTTTATGCTCGTACAGCTGCGTCATTTTACATGTAAAAACATTTGCTGCTTTTCTTTTGATTACTTTAACGTGTTTGAATCATTTTGAGGTTTGAACCCTGTGATGGCGTCACTCTGGGCGCTGAGTCACTGGGACAACATTTAGCAATATTTTAACAATCGATCAACGGAGGAAATAATCTGCAGGTTGATCCAGAACAAAAAGAACCATAAATACTGCAAAATAGTTCAACCTCAGTAAAGTAATCAAATATATTATATATATCAGTACAACAGTAACAGGACATGGAGTACTTTTACTTTTACTACTTTAAACACATTTTCTGATTATACTTTTACGTTAGTAACATTTTCAATGCAGTACTTTTACAGTGAGGTATTAGTACTTTTGCTTTGTCCACCGCGGGTTGTACTAATTTACTGCTTATGTGTACTCTCCGCAGCTCCTCGTGTACAAAGACTGTGTGAAGAATAAAAACCTGCTCAGCCTCCGTCTCTCTTTAACAGTTTAACTCAGAGGAAGTACACAAATAAACAAGCACTTAAAGTCATTTGGGGATCAGGACTGTTTAACCCAGCAGGGGAGACCATCTGGTCCCGGTCCGAGCGGGGGGGCAGGTACGAGCAGTCCTGTGATCTCAGGAGGATTAATCTCATTACGATCGCGGCCTAATTGGAAAATTGAATGATTGACTGCTTAGTCACCGACTCTAATGTGAGTTTTGGATCCTGAGCAGGAAACATTTCACGCCCGTTATTATTAGATCACTATTTCACACCCTGGAGTGACGCGCGGCGTTCACAGAACAGGAAGACGCTTTATTATTATTATGATTTCTAATCAAGTCCTCTTTCAGGTCCAGCTGGCGGGCTCAGCCAGGGCGAGCTTTTAACCAGAGGCTCCAGTCCACCATGTGTTACTGGACAGACTGGGAGCACTGGGAGCAGGGGTTGGACACCAGGGCTCAGATTAGAGGCGAAGATACACTCAGCTCACGCACGACGTCGGGTCTGAGGCTCCTCCCCCAGAACATTTTGAGCATTAAACACGTAATTTCCTGCATTCTGCAGAAATGTTTTATTTATATGGAGGGAAACTGTGCTGCGGATAAAAAATCCAAAATTCAGCTGCACAGATTTGTAAACTTTGGCATCTCAACTAGACTTTAAAAACAACAGCAGCTCATCAGCGAGACATTAGACGCTTTAATACGCTAAAATGTTATCACAATAAAACATTTCGATAATCATCGGGATAAAAGTCAAATCATTCCTTCTTTCAGTTTAAAGGCTGATTTTTGCTCCTGAGTGAAGGTTAATTTTAAACTTTTCTTTCACTTGATGAGGATCAATAAACCAACCTGAGGCAGAACATTCAGAACTGTTCTGATAAAATCTGTTTTCCTCAGCAAAATGAAGATCTTAATAGAACTAATTTAATTAAGTCAAACATTTATTGAACATTTGTTATTTTGTCATTGAGGTAATTTATTTGGTGATTATTATCATTATTGTTTTATTGTCCTACGCTGTAACATTCACATACAGAAAACCAAACTCGTCTTCTCTTCCCGCTCAGCTCGTTTCACCTTCATTCAACATTCAATAATCGGTTATTCAAATGTTTTCTGTCTTTGACACTAATCTCAGTATCTCTCTTTTTTATCTTCTATTTTATTTTATTCTGTTTAAATCCTGGTTATACGGAAGCCCTAAGCAGCCATACATTCACACATTTTATTTACTCAGTTTTCTGTGATTTGTTTTCTGGAGATCTGGAGTTATTTATGTCATCTTGAAATAACAAATATATATAAATCTGAGAACTGGAGGAAAATGACTTGTTATAAATGTTTGGCCTGTTACGGCTTCCGTATGTTGCGTCTCGTTTAAAACACAAACAAACTCTTCTGGGCTGAAACGGTTCATTCGAAGATCAGAAGTTAACGCTCCCGCAACCACAGAAGAAGAGATGAGGCAGGTACAGGCGTGTTTTACCTGGTCTGGGGCGGGTTTGTGCGTGGTCATGTGACGCTCCAGCTGCGTGCGGTGGCTGAAGGCGTCGCCGCACAGCGGGCAGGCGAAGCTCTCCTCGTTCCTCTCGTGCCGATACTTGATGTGCTCCTTCAGAGACGTCAGCCGCTTGTAGCCGCGGTCGCAGTACGGACAGGTGAGCAGCTGGGCAAAGTCATCTGCGCCGCCACCGCCGGACACCAGGTCTGAGAGGTCAAAGGTTAAAGGCCAGGTCAGGGAGGCTAACAGAGGCTAACAGCTGCTAATGGGGGCTAATGGGGGATAACAGGATAACAGAGGCTAACAGAGGCTAATTGGGGATAACAGGCTAACAGAGGCTAACGGAGGCTAACAGAGGCTAACAGAAACTAACAGAGGCTAACGGGAGCTTACAGGCTAACAGAGGCTAATGGGGGATAACAGGCTCACAGAGGCTAACGGGAGCTTACAGGCTAACAGAGGCTAATTGGGGATAACAGGCTAACAGAGGCTAACGGAGGCTAACAGAAACTAACAGAGGCTAACGGGAGCTTACAGGCTAACAGAGGCTAATGGGGGCTAATGGGGGATAACAGGCTCACAGAGGCTAACGGAGGCTAACAGAAACTAACAGAGGCCAACGGAAGCTTACAAGCTAATAGAGGCTAACAGAGGCTAACGGAGGCTAACAGAGGTTAACAGAAACTAATAGAGGCTAACGGGAGATTACAGGCTAACAGAGGCTAAAAGAGGCTAACGAAGGCTAACAAAGGTTAACAGAAACTAATAGAGGCTAAACTAACAGAGGCTAACGGGAGCTTACAGGCTAACAGAGGCTAAAAGAGGCTAACGGAGGCTAACAGAGGTTAACAGAAACTAATAGAGGCTAACGGGAGCTTACAGGCTAACAGAGGCTAATGGGGGCTAATGGGGGATAACAGGCTAACAGAGGCTAATGGGGGATAACAGGCTAACAGAAACTAACAGAGGCTAATGGGAGCTTACAGGCTAACAGAGGCTAATGGGGGCTAATGGGGGATAACAAGCTAACAGATGCTAATGGAGGCTAACAGAGGCTAACAGAAACTAACAGAGGCTAACGGGAGCTTACAGGCTAACAGAGGCTAACAGAGGCTAACGGGAGCTTACAGGCTAACAGAGGCTAACAGAGGCTAACAGAGGCTAGCGAGATGTCTATGAATATTCTCAGTCATCCAGGTCATAGTTATCCAACGAAGGTTAAAATCAAGGGCAGCTGGACTTGGTTGAAGATACTGGAAGACGTTTCGTCCCTCATCCAAAGGACTTCTTCAGTTCTGACTGACTGGCAGGGAAACTCAGCTATTTAACCTCAGTGGGGTCGTTGGCCCGGGTCATCGATACCGCTGGTTTGTTAGTGTTCCTTGTTGCTGTGACGACAGTCGTTACAGTCGTTAAGACTACCGGGACTACAGACTTCTTTGTTCACCTGCATCCCCACCATAGAGGCAGTAGAAACCGTCAGAAAACGGCTAACACAAGACAACACCTTGGACAACAGAACTAGACTCAGCCCCGACCAAATCTGCAAATTACTCGACCTCTGTCTAAACACCACCTACTTCCAGTGCACCGGTGGATTCTACAGACAGAAGCATGGCTGTGCCATGGGCTCACCGATTGTGGCAAACATCTACATGGAAGAAGTGGAGAATAAAGCCCTCAACTCCTTCAGAGGAATAGCACCGAGCCACTGGTACAGGTATGTGGACGACACCTGGGTCAAAATCAAAAGCCAGGAAGTGCAAGCCTTGTGTCCACAACAACAGTTTGGCCTTCCTGGACTGCACTGTACACATTGAAGAGGACACAGAAAACCCCCACACACAGACCAATACCTACTGTTCGATTCCCACCACCCACTGGAGCACAAGCTAGGGGTCATGAGAACACTGCACCACAGAGCGGAAAACATACCAACAAGCGCCCAACCAGAGAGAAGGAACAGAAGCCCAAGAACACACTAAGACAGATGCTGGTCCACCCCAAAGACCGCACACCCAAACACAAGAAAAGCAATCTAGTGTATGCGGTCCAATGCAGTGAGGAATGCACAGACCTGTATATTGGGGAGACTAAACAACCACGACACAAACGCATGGCTCAACACAGAAGGGCCAACTCCTCAGGTCAAGACTCTGCAGTCTACTTACATCTGAAGGACAGAGGACACTCGTTTGAGGACCACCAGGTGCACATTTTAGACAGAGAAGATGGATGGTTTGAAAGAGGTGTCAAGGAAGCCATCTACACCAGGGTTGAGAAGCCGTCATTGAACAGGGGAGGGGGTCTACGCCACCACTTATCCCCCACTTACAATGCTGTCCTTTCATCACTTCCCAGGAAACTCAACAAACGTAACCTATTGGCCTCAGGTGAAGATACCAACGAGGGTCGTTCAGTCTTGGCCTCAGGTGAAGATACCAACGATGGTCGTTCAGTCTTGGCCTCAGGTGAAGATACCAACGAGGGTCGTTCAGTCTTGGCCTCAGGTGAAGATACCAACGATGGTCGTTCAGTCTTGGCCACAGGTAGTCTTAACGACCGTAACGACTGTCGTCACAGCAACAAGGAACACTAACGAACCAGCGGTATCGATGACCCGGGCCAACGACCCCACTGAGGTTAAATAGCTGAGTTTCCCTGCCAGTCAGTCAGAACTGAAGAAGTCCTTTGGATGAGGGACGAAACGTCTTCCAGTATCTTCAACCAAGTCCAGTTGCCCTTGACTTTAACCTTCGTTCGATAACAGAGGCTAACAGGGGCTAACGGGTACAACTCAACTCTCACTTTTATTCTCAGTCTGCCTGTTTTTATGATTTTATCTTGAATCTTTCGGTTCATGTGATCGTTTTACTACATCACGTCGTTAAGAAGATTAATTTACAACAACCTTCAGATTCAACTCGGGAAAGCAGCTATTTCATAAAATGGTTTCTTTAACGTCAGGATTCAGCTTCAGGTCGTGTTGAGTTTAATCCCAACACGACCTCCACCTGCTGAGTCACGATGTGGTTTTGTTGGTTCAGAATTACCGTGTTCGCTCTCGTCCAGACCGACGGCCTCGGGCGTGCCCAGCCGCGTCACCTCCTCCGGGGCTTCTGGGTAAATGATGGCGGTGTCACTGCGCTGCAGGTACTCGGCGATGGTTGTCGGGTGTCCGTCTCCCTCCTCCAGTTTCCGCTTCAGGAAGAACTCGTCCAGCTCGGAGACGCTTTCCAGACACTTCCCTGGTCACGAGAAACAAACAGGCAGTGCGTTCAGGGTCACGAGGGACATTTAGCTTAATAAGTCTGCATAAACATGTTGAAGACAACGAGGACCGGCAGAGATGATCCTGTTTAAATAGGGATCCAGAACGGAGCCCTGCGGGACGCCATTACAGCAGCTGCTGGAGACTTCAGGGGCCCTTCTGTTAAAACTTTAGGGAGCCGGATCGTTATAAGATGAAGAACATTTATTATCTGATTATTAACGAGATTCAGATTTATTGATCTCACCTGTTCTGTTCCCCAGAGACTCCGGGCCGACAGGCTCGTACTCCTCCTTCCTGTCATCTGTTACAGAAAACGGCAGAAACAGTTAGTCGTCTCCTCCTCCTCATCTCCCTCCCTCCTCTCCCTCCTCCTCATCTCCCTCCCTTCTCTCCCTCCTCCTCCTCCTCCTCTCCCTCCCTTCTCTCCCTCCTCCTCCTCCTCCTCTCCCTCCCTCCTCCTCCTCGTCATCTCCCTCCTCTCCCTCTCCCACCTGCTGCTACATTTCTTCTTCTTCTTCTCTGCTTCTCTTCCTCCTCTTCGTTCTGATCTTCCATTTCTCTCCTTTCTTTCCTTCTCTTTCTTTCTTCCTCCCTCATCCCATCCTCTCTCTCCTTTTGTCAGTTCAAACCTTTTTATATACAGTCTATGGTTCATTTCCTCCCTTTCTTCTGTCTCTCTCTCCTTTCTTCCCTTCATCACTTTCCTTCCTTCTTCCCACCTCTCTATCTTCCTCTCTATCTTCTTTCTCCCCTCCTTCCTTCCACCTCCCATCCTCGCGGCGTCTTCGGGCCGACTCAGGATCAGCTGTGGTCGTGACAGTAGCGGCTTTTCGTCACCTCAAGGTGTCGTTTGTACTCGAGAACACGGACACGCCATCTGTCCCTCAGAGGAGGCCACCGGTCTCAGGGAGGACGCACTCCTGATTTAACTCGCTGACGAGCAGGAGGAGAAGACTGACAGAGACTGACGTCACAGTGATGTCATCAGACATTTAGCTTCAGCGTCTATCTCCACGCCGCCCTTATTAAACATGGCCGACCGTTAGCTGCAAAGTCTGTCCCCACACCGCCCTTATTAAACATGGCCGACCGTTAGCTGCAAAGTCTGTCCCCACACCGCCCTTATTAAACATGGCCGACCGTTAGCTGCAGCGTCTGTCCCCACACCGCCCTTATTAAACGAGGCCAACCTGGTTCAAATGGGGGACACAGAGCTAGAAGTACTGATACCACAGTAGTCAGTTAGCTTAGCTTAGCTTAGCTTAGCACAAAGACTGGGAACAGCTAGCCAGGCTCTGTCCAACACACAGTGAAAAGGTAACTTCCTAAACTATAAGCAGTAGTACCACAGAGTGAAAGTCCTTTACCACAGAGTGAAAGTCCTTTACTACAGAGTAAAAGTACTTTACTACAGAGTAAAAGTCCTTTACTACAGAGTGAAAGTACTTTACTACAGAGTAAAAGTCCTTTACCACAGAGTGAAAGTCCTTTACTACAGAGTGAAAGTCCTTTACTACAGAGTAAAAGTCCTTTACCACAGAGTGAAAGTCCTTTACTACAGAGTGAAAGTCCTTTACTACAGAGTAAAAGTCCTTTACCACAGAGTGAAAGTCCTTTACTACAGAGTAAAAGTCCTTTACTACAGAGTGAAAGTCCTTTACCACAGAGTAAAAGTCCTTTACTACAGAGTGAAAGTCCTTTACTACAGAGTAAAAGTCCTTTACTACAGAGTGAAAGTCCTTTACTACAGAGTGAAAGTACTTTACCACAGAGTAAAAGTCCTTTACTACAGAGTAAAAGTCCTTTACTACAGAGTGAAAGTACTTTACCACAGAGTGAAAGTCCTTTACTACAGAGTGAAAGTCCTTTACTACAGAGTAAAAGTCCTTTACCACAGAGTGAAAGTCCTTTACTACAGAGTGAAAGTACTTTACTACAGAGTGAAAGTCCTTTACTACAGAGTAAAAGTCCTTTACCACAGAGTAAAAGTCCTTTACTAAAGAGTAAAAGTCCTTTACTACAGAGTGAAAGTCCTTTACTACAGAGTAAAAGTCCTTTACCACAGAGTAAAAGTCCTTTACTAAAGAGTAAAAGTCCTTTACTACAGAGTGAAAGTCCTTTACTACAGAGTAAAAGTCCTTTACCACAGAGTGAAAGTCCTTTACTACAGAGTGAAAGTCCTTTACTACAGAGTAAAAGTCCTTTACTACAGAGTAAAAGTCCTTTACTAGCTGCAGCATCTGTCCCCACACGCCCTTATTAAACGTGGCAGACCGTTAGCTGCAGCGTCTGTCTCCACGCCGCCCTTATTAAACATGGTAGACCGTTAGCTGCAGCGTCTGCTTCAGTATTTATTGTCAAATTTCAGGACATTAAATGTAAAAATATTCAAAATGCATCCTGTGAAACTACCCCCCCCCCCCACCCTCCTCACCAGCCCCCCCTGGCAGCTGCTGACAGAGATCATGTGATATGAAAGAGCATCGTGTGCGGCATGCTGACTCACCGCCGCCGTTCAGGTTGGTGTCGTCTCCGAGTCTCCAGTGGGGCTGATGGGGGTTCTGGAGTCCCTCTGAGCCCTCCTGGTCCCCGTAGGACAGCAGGGCGTGGGCGACCCGCGGCGACGCCTCCAGAGCCGGCACGCCGGCCGGGCTGCCCGCCTCTTCATCCTCCCCTCCTCCTCCTGCGCCGCCGCCGTTAGCGAGGCCGTTGTCCTCAGGGAGCAGTGTCCTGTCGTCCTCGTCCGTCTCTGAACCCGTCTCCACCACATTCTCATAGTTCAGCACTGCAACACAAACACAGAGGGTTAGGAAAGACCAGGACCAGGACTAGGAGGGGGATGACTGGGACCAGGAGGACCAAGAGCAACAGACTAGGAGGAAAACCAGGACCAGCAGCAATAGGCTTCAACATACCAGGACCAGGAGGAGGGGGAGGAGGGGGAGGAAAGGGGGCACATTCCTGGACTGGGAGTCTTTTTCTGTCAGACTCTCAGGGGACCAAGGACTGCAAGTGTTCCATGACTGAACATAAACCTGGTTCAAATGGGGGACACAGAGCTAGAAGTACTGATACCACAGCAGCCAGTTAGCTTAGCTTATCTTAGCTTAGCACAAAGACTGGGAACAGCTAGCCAGGCTCTGTCCAACACACAGTGAAAAGGTAACTTCCTAAACTATAAGCAGTAGTACCACAGAGTAAAAGTCCTTTACTACAGAGTAAAAGTACTTTACTACAGAGTGAAAGTCCTTTACCACAGAGTGAAAGTCCTTTACTACAGAGTGAAAGTACTTTACTACAGAGTGAAAGTACTTTACTACAGAGTGAAAGTCCTTTACTACAGAGTAAAAGTACTTTACTACAGAGTGAAAGTACTTTACTACAGAGTAAAAGTCCTTTACTACAGAGTAAAAGTACTTTACTACAGAGTAAAAGTACTTTACTACAGAGTGAAAGTCCTTTACTACAGAGTAAAAGTACTTTACTACAGAGTGAAAGTACTTTACTACAGAGTAAAAGTCCTTTACTACAGAGTGAAAGTCCTTTACTACAGAGTAAAAGTCCTTTACCACAGAGTCAAAGTCCTTTACTACAGAATAAAAGTATTTTACCACAGAGTAAAAGTCCTTTACTACAGAGTGAAAGTCCTTTACTACAGAGTAAAAGTCCTTTACTACAGAGTCAAAGTCCTTTACTACAGAATAAAAGTATTTTACCACAGAGTAAAAGTCCTTTACTACAGAGTAAAAGTATTTTACCACAGAGTCAAAGTCCTTTACTACAGAATAAAAGTATTTTACCACAGAGTAAAAGTCCTTTACTACAGAGTGAAAGTCCTTTACTACAGAGTCAAAGTCCTTTACTACAGAGTCAAAGTCCTTTACTACAGAGTGAAAGTCCTTTACTACAGAATAAAAGTATTTTACCACAGAGTCAAAGTCCTTTACTACAGAATAAAAGTATTTTACCACAGAGTCAAAGTCCTTTACTACAGAATAAAGTATTTTACCACAGAGTAAAGTCCTTTACTACAGAATAAAAGTATTTTACCACAGAGTAAAAGTCCTTTACTACAGAATAAAAGTATTTTACCACAGAGTAAAAGTCCTTTACTACAGAGTAAAAGTATTTTACCACAGAGTCAAAGTCCTTTACTACAGAATAAAAGTATTTTACCACAGAGTAAAAGTACTTTACTACAGAGTCAAAGTCCTTTACTACAGAGTCAAAGTCCTTTACTACAGAGTAAAAGTATTTTACCACAGAGTAAAAGTCCTTTACTACAGAGTCAAAGTACTTCACCACAGAGTCAAAGTACTTCACCACAGAGTCAAAGTACTTCACCACAGAGTAAAGCCCTGCACTGACCAGCTGAGTGATCAGAACATTTCAATAAGCAGCAACAACAGACTGCAGGGCAGCAGAGAGAGAAATGTACCATCTGTACTTGTTGTACTGTTGGCTTAGTACTACTAACAGTACTGATTCAAAGTACTGCTGCTACTAAAGAAGTTGCAGCTGAACGTTCTGCTGCAAGGTTCCGCTTCAGAGCGATGGAGGTAAAGTAAGGGGGAGGGGGGGCACCATGACATCATGGGAACCGGCCCTCGGGGCCCGGGGTCGGCCAGAAAAGGAGAACCATTTCCAGTGTGTCCTAATAAAGCGCTGCGTGGACGGCTCTTATCTTTCTCCTCTGGGGGTTTTATCTGCTGCCGGTTTCGGAGCCGTGAACCTTTTCCTGCGAGCGGCGAGCAGGTTCCCAGGCGGGCGGAGGAAAACACGGCGCTCTCCTTCCCCTTCGGCTGCGCGGAGATTAGTCGCCGCATATCTGCTCATAATATGATCTTTGTCTGCTGCGAGCGGCGGAGCTCGCCTCCCGGACAACTGCACAACAGGTGCAAATTAAAAAGGGGATCCGCGGCGGGCCGGGCCGAAATCTGCTGACCTGGGCTGAATACCAAGAGCGGGGGCGGGGGCGCAGGGCGTGGGACAAAACCCGGCTTTAATAAGAGGTGTGACCGGCGGGATTTAGGGGCAGTTCAGCCCGGGTAATGCCCTCTGTGATCCAGGAGAAAGAAAGAGCTGAAAGTGAGACGTGAAGACTCGCTGTGTGGTCCGAGGTGCATGATGGGTACAACATGATCACACACACGCACCAGGAGACACACACTCAGTAACACACACACACACACACACACACCAGGAGACACACACTCAGTAACACACACACACACCACACACACCAGGAGACACACACTCAGTAACACACACACACACAGACACAGAGTAACACACACACAGACACAGAGTAACACACAGACACACAGTAACACACACAGAGTAACACACAGACACACAGTAACACACACAGAGTAACACACAGACACACAGTAACACACACACACACACACACACCAGGAGACACACACTCAGTAACACACACACACACAGTAACACACACACACACAGTAACACACAGACACACAGTAACACACACACAGACACAGAGTAACACACACACAGAGTAACACACACAGACACAGAGTAACACCACACAGAGTAACACAGACACAGAGTAACACACACACAGAGTAACACAGACACAGAGTAACACACACACAGACACAGAGTAACACACACACAGAGTAACACACACACAGACACAGAGTAACACACACACACAGAGTAACAC